AAAAAAAAAAAAAAAAAAAAAAAAAAAAGAAAACAGTGAGCAAAATTATCAATCTTTAATGCTTGAATTACTAATTGAGAATATACCAATCTTCACAGGAATGATAAGGAAGTGAGAATAATGAACCTTTAACATCCCAAAAGGAGAGAGTGTTGAAGTGTGTAATGCATGATTGAAGTCTGTAATGCATGTTATCATGCAGTTATCTGTTTTCTGTTGTTCATCCTTTTATTAACTATGTCGCATTTCTCTTGGACTCTTTTAGGGCGCGTTTTTATTAATTCTGGGTGCGTTTTTATTTTAGCCTCTTAATAGGACACGTGTTGGCTTATGGTAGGGTATTATGGATTGTACGAGTATTAAGCATGCTGTGCGTGTCTCTTTTCATTTTTTGAGTTGAATTTACAGAGCTTCGAGCTCAAATGAAAATGGCGATTTAAGATTTGTTCATCTTTTCTTCTAGTTTTCGATTTATCACAAATTAAGCTCAAATTTACATGGTATCTAGAGCGGGTAGAAGATGGCGCATAGTAACAATGAACAAGATCGTGAAATCGTTGGAAGGGGAATCTACACTCGCGATGTAGATCCACTCTCTCTTCATGGATCTGACAACCCTGGTTTGGTCCTTGTCACGAATCAACTCACAGGTGCAAATTATTTGCATTGGAGCCGTGTTATGAAACTTGCCCTCAGTGCGAAGTCGAAGCTTGGATTTATCAATGGAGCAGTAGAGATTCCAGAAGCTGGCTCAGAGGAATATAATCAGTACCAAAAGGTAGAATCCATGGTCATCTCTTGGTTGCTTAACTCCATTTCAAAAGATATCGTCGAATCCTTTACGTATGTTAAAAATGCCAAAGAGCTGTGGGATGAGCTAGCTGAACGGTATGGTGAGAGCAATGGACCCTTAAGGTACCAATTGCAGAAGGAAATAGCAAACTTTACTCAAGGAAATCTTACTGTCACTGCATATTTCACTAAGTTGAAGTGCCTGTGGGATGACTACTCTTGCTTAGTCTCTATACCTGACTGTGTTTGTGGATCTGGAAAGAAATTTTGTGAAGTTGACATGGAGATAAAGCTGATGCAGTTTCTTATGGGCCTTAATGAAGTCTTTGAACCAGTGAAGAATCAAATATTATTGCTTGATTCATTACCTACTATAAATAGGGCTTACTTAATGATTTTGAAGGTAGAGAGACAGAAAAGTGTTGGTATAAAAATGTCCACTCAGTTGGAGTCTTCAGCCATGCTAGTTAGAGGAAGTTTTGGGAGAGGTAATGCTGGCAGAACACAGGGTTTTGGAAGAGGCAATGGTGGAAGGAACTTGGGATCACAGAACTTTAATAGTGGGAGAGGAATAGGAGGCCCAAGATTGTCTAAGGAGGAAAGAGCAAAGCTCTTTTGCACACATTGTGGCTATAATGGACATGAAGTCCAAGGATGCTTCAAATTAAATGGCTATCCAGATTGGTTTAAAGAGCTGAGGGAGCAAAGACAAGCTCAAAGTGTGAATATGGCTGACAAGGATGACTCCTCAAAGGGTGATTCAGAAAGCAGGTCTCAACACAGTGACACATTGCCTGACATAAGTTCCTTGATTCAAAAGGAGGTTGCTAAATATATGGCTGGGCAGCATGAAGCAGAAACAAACACATATTCTCATTTTGTGGAATATTCAAGTGATAAAGAGGATTATGCATTCTCACTGGCTGGCAAACTTGACAAAAGTAGCTGGATTGTGAACACAGGTGCAAGTAAGCACATTTGCTGTGAGGCTGGGATGATGACAAAGAAAGTTACCTTTCAAGTTCCCATCATTGTGAATCTACCTGATGGAACCAGATTGAAGGTTACACAAGTTGGTGAGGTACAGTTCATTGATAGGATAATTCTCAAAGATTTATTATTGATCCCAAAGTTTAAATACAATCTTCTATCAGTGGGTCAACTTGTGGAGAATAATGGGATGCACTTTGTGTTCACTAGTAAGAATTGCAAGTTGAGGGACACTAAAACTAACTCTGATGTAGCTTTTGGAAAGGCATTAGCAGGTTTATATGTGATTGAGGCTAAGAAGGTCTTGATTAATGCTGCTGATGAGAAAAACTTACAGGATGAGGAACTGTTCTTATGACATAGAAGGTTGGGTCACAGTTCTGTCCAATGTCTAAGGCACTTGCATTTTCTGGCAAACAAGCCTGAGAATCAATTGTTGAAGCCATGTGACATATGCCACAGATCAAAGCAAAGCAGGCTGCCCTTTCCACTTAGTCAGATACAAACTAAGCAAAAGTTTGAATTGATCCATGTGGATGTTTGGGGACCACATCTTGAAGAATCAGTGCTGAATGTTTCTTACATGCTAACCATTGTTGATGATTTTACAAGGGCTACCTGGATTTATTTGATGAAGTACAAGAGTGAGACTTACAATCACTTGAAATCCTTCTTCAAAATGGTTGAGGTGCAATTTGGTGCTAAAGTGAAACAAATGAGGAGTGACAATGGTACTGAATTTGTAAATAAAGACATGGATGCTTTATTGAAGGACAATGGGATACTGCACCAAAGATGTAACACCCCACTTTGATTTTACAGAAATTCCGGACTTTCTAAAAATCAGAACAA